TGCGCTGATTTAGGTCCTATAATAGAGCAACTTATATAGTGGCTTGTATTTGCCGGCAGTCTTCATCTGCCTACTCTACTAGCCGCATTGCTGCTACTGGCTGGGCTCCACAGACAGCCCCAAGGTAGGGCAATACGAGTGAGTTCCGTTAGCGCTCAGTGAACGTGTAGTGGCAGGCTAGCGTCACTTCCTCCGCGTCACGCCAAACATGACGTCTCAGGAGTGCAAACCTCGAACTACACTTTGGACAGCTGCAGACTCCGCGAGAACTTGGTGGCCGTTAACATGACCTCAATCCGTCTGGTCATGGGCCTTCAAGGCCGCTTCAGACAGGAGCTGAGTGCTTAAGCTCTGACACTCTGGACCCAGCGCCCTTGCAGCTGGACTGCACTCGTCCGAGCGTCAAATTCTTCCTACTTACTCTCTTACTCCTTCTGCACATAATAAACTGTTCCTACCACTCTGGCCTTCCATCTCTTCTACATCTCCTAAGGAACCGTGCCCGAAGATCGTAGTGATAAGGGCTTTCTCTGTTAACCTTAATTCCTCGCTAAGCTTTCATCAGCGAGCGTTAGTATATTCCAAACTAAACCGATATGACAACGAGCCTGTGACTCCGTGGTTAGAGCATTGGACTTCAGATTAAAATGCCGTCGGTTCGAGCCATGGTTAGGACACCACTCGGGGTTGGGTATAACTGGCTGATGACGGCGAATGAGCCAGAAATAACCATCTCAGCGTCCGCTCTAATTAATGCTATCTGTGTAGACTACTATCCACTGTGCGGCTGCTGGCAGCGCTCGAAGGCAGAGCGGGACTAGTGAGTTCCGGTAACGTTTGGTGAACGCTAATCAACGATCGCCAAACAGTGTTTGTCAAACTCTCCTCACTGACCTATCCCAGGCGAGCGCGTGCGCACCGACCCAGAGGTTGGAGGAAACTAGGACACAAGACTGTTCGGTTGAAGGGCTGTCGAAAACGTGAACGGTCCAGGGCTTCTGTCCAAAGACGGCAATATCATTGGCAATAGGGGTCAACAGGGGAGGTCCATGTTCAGCCTGATCATTCAAGCCAACGAGCTTCGTTTCCGCTTCCTCATCGTCTTCATCCTTCTCAAAAGACCCCTCCGAGGCCTCGTCGAAGGCCAATGAGGCTGGGTTGAACCTATGGAGGAAAAGCAGATGTAATTTGATAGTTGAGGAAGATTGTGGATATTTATAATAATCGTTCTGGTGTGGTGACTGCACGTAAGATCTGTGAATTCCCTCTTAAGGCTGAATGAGGTACATGACAAGTAATTGACGATTTATAAGTTTTGATTATAGGTTTAATGAATACGAAAAGAGAATCGTGTCGGACGTGCTGTTTGTCAAAGTTAAAGATAAATCGTCAGAGATGAACGGTTTCATAATACAGGTAAGTGGCGGGCGATTTCAGTTGCTACACTTGTACAGGCTGCACGTAGCTGACGAGGGCCATCAGCCCGAAATAGCTATACTACGTTGCCATTGTCTACGCCGGTATACTGAAAATACAGGTAAGTGTTCCTCATAAGCAACACCGTAGTTTACAATAAGACCGATTAGTACGTATTTCATTGTGGTTAGACCACGTGGTTAATATCCAACTATTCTGGTAACTGCATGCTATATTTAATCTATCTTTTATTTTTCTAGATTATTTACTCTAGTTATTAGTTTATTTGTTTACTTTGTAGTTTTATTAGTTTGAGTTTAGTTTAGTTAGATGAGGACGAAGGTCTACCGTAAGACGGTCAACACTACGCACCTCCTTCACTTCAGAAGTAACCACACAGACGGTCACAAGTGAAGTTGCATGGATAAGGAAGAAGACTTGTCGAGCACCGAATCAATTGGTTTATTGTCCTGAACTTTCGAACTATTACGGGAGTCCATCTTCAGAGATAAGGAGCAGCAAAAAAAATGAGGGTCCAAACCCCTCTTTAAAAAACCTTTCGTCCAAACCCATCTTTGAAAGCTACCATAATTACCCTGATTTTGGTTGCTGCTTCGTATATCTAAAGTTGGACTCCCGCAAGATTTCGGTGCTCGACAAGTCTGGAACGCTAATTTTTTCATTCATTCGGAAACGAAGTTGCTTCAGAACTCTATTCGAACGCACTAAAACACTTACCCTGCAGCGACCACGATGGCCGGAAGGAGGAGAGGAAATGCTTGCATGCTGTATTTGCGGTCAATGGTTCTCCGAAGTCCTTCCTACACAGGTGTCGCTGGAAGCCCCACGCTGGGGGGAGCAACCGAGGAGAAACCTGGATCTCACTTCCTTATATGAAGAATGTTTCAGAGGCGGCTGCAAGGATCCCGAAATCGTGCGGGATCGGTGTAGCCAACAAATTGACATTAGCCCTCAGACAGCAAATCATGAAGTCTAAGGACCAGCTACCAGTCACCGAACAATCGGCGGTGATCTACAACATGCTATACCATGTAGTGAAAGGCATCTTAGTGAAATGGGAAAACGCTTCGACAAAAGATCGTACGAACGCCAGCTTGCAATCAACTGCAAGGATAAGCTATCTTCGATATACGGCTACGCACAACAGCAGAACAGCAATTTCACCTCTGATAAGGCAAGGGTGATCGCCGAAGATAATGATATGAAATATGGAAATGTGCCCAGTCTGTCCGTTTCTAGCCC